GTGGTATATTCACACAATGGAATACTAGGCTGCATTGAAAAACAAGGAACTTATACAGTATTATTCAAAATGGGTAATTCTGGAAGACATTATGCTGAGTGAAATATCTCAGTCACAAAAGGACAAATACTGCATGGTGCCACTGTTGTAAAACAAGACTGACATTGGGTTGGGGGGAGACTAAGAAAGACGGGTTAATTACTGTATACTGCATTGAAACAGATGAGAGAGAAAACTGTTTCAAAGGGATATGTGATTAGGTATTTTTGTCATGACAGTAGTCCAGAGTGAAGGCTGCATAGTGGAGTGGACCTGGGGGGAGGGATTGTAAAACAATGAAAGAATTTTTCTTTTACTTTTCCAAGAGGGTAGTGTACTGGGGGGGAGGGCTGGGGGGGGAGAAAAGTGCAACAATGAATGAATAGAAATCCAAAGTCTCTGTAAATTTTCATTGAAATTAATAATAAAGTTTAAGAAAAAATTTTAGTAGTGTAATCCTAATAACAGTTAATGATTTAAAAAATTGTATTATTTTTGCAAATGTTATGAAAATAATATCAGTAATATTAAAATAATGTCCTGGGTACAGATCTGAATATTTTATCATAATATGAAACATTTTTATGGAGTAATAACATTTAAAATGTAAAGTTGTAATAATTACAGAAATGTAACTTCTCAGTTTTCTGTGTACAATTGCAGTATTGTTGTTTTTATTACTTTATATAATAGAAAGGTTGGGGATTTTTTTAAACATAGTTGATTTTTAAAACATTGGAATTTTTCAGACAAATGCATTTCCTCCTTTACATTCTCACGCCAAACCGTAAGGATCAGTTCAGTTTAGTCCTTTTCTACTTCTGTTCTGATACCAGCGGCACAAGCAGCACCTCTTCCTCAGACCCCGATGGCTGCAGCTTGGTGAGAGCTCACAAGTTACAGGACAGTTAGTCATGCAGACTACTAACTCAGCCCAAGACTTCAGTTGCCAGCCTCAAGCTTGAGAGACACATGACATCCTCTTTCTGATTTTCTAGCTACAGATTTGAAGTTTCCTGCTATCTTTCAGGACACCAGATACAGGCTCAGGAGTCCTTTCCTTAACTCCCCCTCTGTACCCCCATTTCTGACCTACCTGTTCCCATAACTCCTTCAAGTTCAGCAACTACTCACAGAACTTGTGGAAATCTCTATACTTAAAATTACAGAATTGCAAGGATATGGAAATGAAATGACTGTAGAGCAAACTCTGGGAGGATTCCCAACATGAAGCTTCCCTGTTCAAAGAGGAATCATTAATCATAACCTCCATGCATGTATTTCACGAACCAGGAAAACCGTGGTACTTTTTTGTCTAGAACCCTAATGTGGGGTCTTAATAAATCTTTCAAACACTAACCCCTCTCTCTTGAGAGCAGTCTGGTATCTCAAGATGATCATGAAGTAATCATTCTGAAGATTGATAATCATTTGGTGGATCTTTCTTCCCTGGCTAGCCCCCACCTGATTGTCACCTCATTAGCATAACCTGTTTGGTTAGTTGTCATCTGGAACACTTATCAAAGAAATTTATGTTTACTGGGGAAATAACTAGTATTTGAGAGGTAAACTTTTAGGAACAAAGACAAAATTAATGTAACCCTATAAATTCTAGAAAAGATTTTTTTCTTAATCTTTTTCAAGTCCTCCAGTTACTTTTTGAGGAAACAATAATGCTTTCTTTTTGTATCTCAATTTTTTTTTATCCATTTCTATTTTCCCCAAAATTTATAGTAAATTGTTTAAATCTACAGAAACCAATGTGAGTTGTTTATATATTTTTAAGTTGAATGTGATGCTGTTAGTATTGTGTGCCATAGAGTTGGAAATGACCCATAACTGACCCTCCAGCAGGTTTTCAGAAGCAGCTAATTCCTAGTTAATTGCCAAACTCTCTCCTACTGAGTGAGAAACTGGTGGATTTGAAACACGCACATGTGGAGCTGCTGGCACAACTTCTTACCACTAGGCCACCAGAGCTAAAATTCCACATACAGCTGTTACAAGCTCCCTGGGTCTGAGAAATCTTGCCAGATCTAATCAAGAATGAGGAGGTGAGGTACTGTCTTTTTGGATAGACCATTTGCAGCAAGATACTTTCTCCCCTCTCCCCAAGAGGATAGAGCAACAAGATTTTACTGTTAGTGTTAATAAAGCTTTAGGATGCTCTGGTGGCCTAGTGGTAAGAAGCTGCACTGCAATGCCAAAGGCCTACAGTTCCACAGGAAAAAGATGAGCATTCTCCTCCCATGTGATTTACTGCCTCTGAAAACCTGCTGGAGGCTCAGCTATGAGTCTGTTCCGATTTGTTGGTACACAACAACAGCAGTAAAGCTTTAGGGCGCTCTGGTGGTGTTGTCATAAGGAGTTGTGCTGCTAACCCAAAGGCAGCACTCTGTCTATTGGAATCCATGGAAAAAGAATGGGTAATCCCAATTTAGATTTACGGCCTCAGAAAACCCACCAGCAGGTCAACTATGAACCAGTGCCAACTTGACGTGATGACAAAGAAGTCGAGGTGAATAAAGGTTTACACACTCATCAATTTTCTGGAGAGAAGTGCATTTCTCTGGAAACTGGCCTGTCTAGGTGGGAAATTATGGAAATGCGGTACATATACGACTAGTCTTTCAAGATAGATTCTGTCAGGAAGGCTTCTGGAGCAGTTGGCATCACTTATTATGGGATGGGACATGGATGTACTAGCTCAAGTCCGACTCCCAGAAGACAGCTCTCTGCTGTCTTTAGAGGAAGGTCTTAGTGTTTGAAGGATGGTGGATTGTACATGCTTGCTACTGAAGACCTGAAGCACTTGCTGCAGAAGGGTAAGGACTGTAGTCTTCAATATGGATTGAAGCTCAACATCAAGAAAACAAAGATTCTCACCACTAGGCCAATTGACAGCACCATGATAGGTGGAGAAGAGATTGAGGTTATTAGCAATTATGGCTTGTTCAGAATACTCTTCTTAACACTAGCAGTCAGGAAATCAAAAGACGAATTGCACTGGGAAAATCTGCTGTCAGGGACCTCTCCAGAGTGCTGAAAAGCAACGATGTCAGTTTAGAAACCAAGGTCATAGTCTTCGCAATTACTTGCTATGCATCAGAGATCTGGACAGTGACTAAGGATGACAGAAGAAGAATTGATGCCTTTGAGTTGTGGTGTTGGAGAAGAGTTTTAAACATACCATGAACTGCCATGAAAACAAATAGGTCTTTCTTGGAGAGGGTGAAACCAAGTCTTTCCTTGGAGGCTAGGATTTTGAAGCTCCATCTCACATACTTTGGGCACGTGGCAAGGAGAGACTGGTCCACGGAGAAAGATGTCATGATCAGAAGGGTGGAGGGAGAGCGCAGGAGAGGGAGACCCCGGATGAGATGGATTGATACAGTGACTAGGGCAGTGGGGGTTGGTGTGTTGGAATTAGTGAGACTGGCTCAGGACAGGGCAGCATTCAGAGCTGCTGTACATATGGTCGCTATGGGTCGCAGGCAACTTGACCACACATAACAACAATAAGGAATCATTTTAAGTGGCTTCTGCCTGGAAAACAACATAACAGGTATTAAGCGCAGCAGGGTAATTGGTGTTGTTTTAAGTGCCATCAAGTCGAGTGTGACTCATAGGCATGTTTTATTAGGGGAAAACATCTACCTTGTTGGTTTCTGACCAAACACCAGATACCTTTCAGAAATCTGGCTCTGGCTACCCTATCTCACAGCTGACACATAATAATTTGAGAAACAAGCTATTAGGTGGGCACTTGGTAGGAAGTTACTATTTTAAAAAGCAGTGTTTGTTAATTCAGAGTGGTTATTAACTGTCATCAAGCCAGTGCCCAATTCAAGGTGAATCCAAGCACAATGAACCGAATGAAGCATCATCTTCATTGCTGACTGTTGTGATTCATAGGGTTTTCATTTGAGAATTTTCAGATGTAGCTTGCCCAGCCTTTATCTTCCTCTGTTTTAGTCTGAATGCTCTGCTGAAACAAACCTGTTTAGCATCATAGCAACATGGATGCCTCCACCTGTAGACAGGTGATGGCTTCATATGTGGTGCACTGGAAATTGAAGCCTGGCATCCCACAGAAAAAGCAAGAAATCTGCCACTGAATCACTCCCCAGCTCTTTTTTAATTTGTTAAACAATATATATAAGTCAAGAACCCTGAAACTGTTGCCTTCTGATAAAGTGCTGATGTATGTGACCTGTGTTAAAGAGAGGAGTATTTTTAATAGAAAAATAAGTTATTTTATGATATAATATTAACAAGTTTTTTAAAAAGCATCATTTGGTATAAAATCAGTTGGTGTTATTAAATATTTGATGTGATGTTATTGAACTGAGTGACTGGATTTGGAACTAGGGGTTTTTTTGTGTATATTATTTCATCTTTTATAGCAGTTATTCTGTCTTTTCTGTCTAATACTCAATCTCACATAATTTGGAAATGTTGCTAGGAGAGGCATTTCCTTGGAGAGGGACATCATGGTGGGAAAGTAGAGGGACGGCGAAGACTCTCAACTAGGTGGACTGACACAGCGACTGCAGCAATGGGCTCCAATGTGTCAGAAATTGTGAGGATGGAACACGATAGAACAAGATTCAGACCTGTTGTCCATAGGGTCGCGATGAGTCCTACTCGGCTCTAGGACACCTAACAATGTGTCTATTAATGTGTTATTGTACGTTCTGGTGGGAGACCATGCTGTGGTTCTGGTCTTGGATGCTGCTGAGTGAGTTCTAACTCATGGTGACCCATGTGGCAGTCTAGACCTGCCTCCCAGGCTTTTCTAAGCTGTTATCTGAACCGGAGCAGATTGCCACATCTTTCTTCTTCAGAACAGCTGGGTGGTTTAGCAGCCGAGTCTTTAAACCATTGCCTCATCAAGCCTTTGTGATAGAGTACTGCCATCAAGTTCTGGGTTTATATATTTTTTTTATCTTTTCTCATAGGTGATCGGCCTATTGGATGTATTTACACCTGCAAAGTCTCTGGAGGAATTCAATGATGTGTGAGTAAATTTTTCTGTTTTCCCTTTTTCTGATACAAGATGAAGATCATCAACACATTTCTATTCCTAACTCCTTTAGCAGTATATAAACTTTGAAAGAGTCTTCATGCCTAACATCCAGCTCTTCCGATGGAGGGGGTGGTTGTATAGATACAGAAGATGTGTATTATGGGTGGTACATGTTAGTATGTCCATCATTTCACGTAGTAGTGCCCTCCTTGAAGAGCCTGTAGAAGTCTATGGAGAATGGAATAAAAAGAGTTGACTATGACTTTTCTATTCAAATTACTTGTCCTGACTTTTAAGAATTTTCTTCACGAAGTGTCACTGAAGCCCAGTTCCATCTAGGCTTTTTTCTCTTTTGCTTTATGTGCATGTGGGAGAGGGTAGTAGAACTGCAACCTGATCCTTACAGTACTGACTCTGTTCATACACAAGGAAAGGGAGAGGGGCTGGCAACTAGTGTTATTCTCCCTGCTTTGTGACATCTTCGTTTTAGCCTGGATTCCTCTCAGCGTAGTCTGAGACTCAGAGTTGGGAGAAAATGAATCAGGAAAGGAGGGAAAGCTCCTTCTGGGATATGTCATTGAATTGGTCACTTCTGTGTGCTCAGAACTGCTAAGATCTCTTAAGATGCTGTGTAGAACATGCCTCACATAATGAGGAACATTTATCCATTGGCTCCTAACTTCAGTGCGTATGTGAATGTAACAGACATTCCTGGGTGTAAGTGAGCTGTAGACTATAGTTTTTCCAGAAATACCTGAATTTCCAGAAATACCCCTGTAACCCCACTCACAGACATATTACACATATGGAGAGAGAAGGATATATATTTGGTCCTGTTGAAATGTTGGCTTTCCTTATTGTCGTGGATAATTGTTGTAAATGTCAGAATAGTCTTTGAACACATGACCTGCTTTCCTTAACCTCCACTCTCCATTGTTTCCAGTGCCGATTCTGGCATTTCCCCACCCCATATCCTTGGTGGGAAGCATCATTTGCTCCTTTCCTCTCAAACAAACAGAATATATGCATTTATATGCTTTAAAGTACAACTTAAAAGAGGAAAAAAACCACCAAAACAAAATCTCGTTGCCATCAAGTCAAAACCAACTCATAGCTGACTCTAATGAGCTTCCTATGCTGTAAATTACATGGAGGAGACTGGTCATCTTACTCATTCAGGGCGAGATACCACCAGAGAGAGAACTGACTCATAGATGAACCTCCACCAGGTTTTCAGAGACAATAAATTACAGGGATTTCCTGCCTTTATACCATGGAGTACCTGGCAGATTCGAACCGTACAGGTTTGGAATTGGCAGCACAAATTCTTACCACTAGACCAACAGAGCTTCCTGAAAGTATAACTCAAAAAACTAAAACAAAGCATCATTGCCATTAAGTCAGAACCAGCACATAGTTGACTCTAATGAGTTTCCTACACTGTAAATCATGTGGGAGGAGATTGCCCATCTTTCTCCCTCAGAGTCACTGGTAGATTTGAACCACCAGAGAAGCGCAGCCTTTACATTAGCTTCACAGATCCCTATGGACTAGGTCAATAGCACAACTCCCTACAGAATAGGCCACCAAGGACCTCCCAATAAGGTGCAACAGAAAGAAATAAGAGGAGGGGGCCAGAAACAAACCCTAGATAAAATAGAAAAGGCAGATAAAATAATGTCGAGGGGAAAATCCTACTATTTGAACATAGTTGGAACATGATGTACCTAAGGATAGATGAGAGAGAATCTAGTTACAGTACAAGAACTCCCCCACCCCCATTAGCCTTGTCTTGCTGATGAAAGTTTAAGAAAGAAGTAAAGGAAAAAATAAGCAATAACTAAGAACAGCTGTGCTGCAGCAGCCCTGCTTGCCACCGGAGTGTAGAGGCTTCCAGAGATTGCTGGGTGCCACCCAGAGACATGTGTGTTACAAGTTACTGAGACCTGCTGGAGGCTATGCTTGGCAAAGAGAAAACTGCAGAATGGTGATTTTTGATATTCTGCCTAAATGTGGAAGAAATGCTGATGTAATGTGTATATGAAGTAATGTGTTTGGAGAACATCTGAATCAGATCTAAGCTATATCCCCAAATTTTAGTTGCCGTGAAGATAAATTTATTTAACAAAGAAATTGGTTTGCTGAGCTGGGCAGTTCTGTGTTTTGACTTACTCGGACTTTGTGAAACTGGATGATGAACCTTTTTTACTTATGTGTAAGACCTTACTTAATGTGAGTCTCTATTTTAAAAAGGCTGTTTTCTTGAATATAATACCTTTGGCTTCTTCATCCTTATGAGGCCCCACAATCTACAAGTCTACCCACTCAGCTAAAATTGCATCATTACTTCATCCATTTTATAGAAACTATGACTGCTGAGCAAGAATCTGTTCTTTCAGCTTAACTGTTTAGCTGTGCTCTATTATGTATAAATGAGAACTAAGTTCATCTCTTAGGAGCAAATGTCCTATTGAATGTCCTAGAGAATGCTAACTCATTGGAAGGCCAGCTGGGACTCAGTTCCAACTCAATGGTATACAAGAACATAGAATGACAAACAGGATCGAGGCACGTTAAAAATAATCACAAACATTAAGTTTTTCTCCTTGAGGAAGTCACAGTCTGTTGTTGTTATGTGCTCTCAAGTCACCTACAACTCATAGAGGCCCTATGTACAGCAGCCCTAAACCCTGCTCTGTCCTGTGCCAATCTTACTGTCTATGAGATACCCACCCCCATTACTCCAGTCAGTCTCATCGAGGTCTCCTGAGCTGTCCCTCCAAACTCCCAAGCATGACATCCCTCTCCAAGGACTGGTCCCGCCTTGCAACATGTCCAAAATATGGCAGACTTCAGAATCCTTGCCTCCAAAGAGCAGCCTGGTTTAACCATCTCCAGGACAAACTTGTTTGTTCTCTTCGTAGTCCATGGTATAGTTAATACTCTTCTCCAGCATCACAGCTCAAAGGCATCAATTCTCCTTCTATCATCCCTAGTCATTGTCCAGCTCTCTGATGCATAGCAAGTGATTGCAAAGACCATGGCTTGTATCAGGTGCACCTTAGTCTCCAGACTGACATCATTGCTTTTCAGTACTTTGGAGAGGTCTCTGACAGCAGATTTTCCCACCACAATATGTCTTTTCATTTCCTGGCTGCTGGTGCCAAGAGTGTTGATTGTGGAGCCAAGCAAACTAAAGCTGTTTACAATCTCAGTCACTTCACCATTCATCACAGTGCTGCCAAGTGGCCCAGTAATGAGAATCTTTGTTTTCTTGATATTGAGTTTCAATCCATATTGAAGGCTGCAGTCCTTGACCTTGTGCAGCAAGTGCTTCAGGTCCTCCTCAGTTTCAGCAAGCAGGGTTGTGTCATCCACATAACATAAATTCTTGATGAGTTTTTCTCCAATCCTGATGCCAAATTTCTCCTCATAGAGCCCAGACTCTCTGATAATCTGTTCTGGATATAGCTTGAAAAGGTATGAAGACAGGATGCATCCCTGACGCATACCTTTCCTGATTTTGAACCATGCAGTATTTCCTTGCTTTGTTCTGACAACTGCCTCCTGGTCCAAGTAGAGGTTTTGTATTAGCATGATCAAGTGTTCTGACATTGCCGTTCTTCTCAGAGTCAGCCACAATTTGTTGTGGTCCACACAGTCAAGTGCCTTTGCATAATCAATGAAACACAGATAGACATTCCTCTGGTACAGGGAAAAGAAATTCAATACAGTTGTGTAACCAAGTTTGAGTTAGCCCTGTGACCTTTAATAAGTCCCTTTCCTCCTTTAGGTCCCAGTCAATATCCCAGTAAAATAAAGGCAATTGAAGTTGTTAACTTCTGAATGTTTTCAATCCCAGAGAATCTCTGAAAAATTGAATGACAAGTTAACTTTACGAAAATGTTTCATTGTTTATTGTAATTTTTGTTTTATATCACTGGGGGAAAGAAACATAGCACTTATCCAGCTGCGTGGGAGGATAGGCACTCTCCTTCCATCTATTTACTGCCTCTGAAAACCTGGAGGGTCAGCTGTGGGTCAATTCTAACTTGACAGCACTCAACAGTGTTTTCGAAAACTATTCCAGAATTTGCTCTCAAGCCCCAAAACACCTGTCTTGTCAAGTTGACTCAGCGCTGTGAAGAACAGATCTGAACCTTGCCCCGTTCTGTATCCTCCTTACGGTCTCTCATACTTAAGTCCATTGTTATTGTCACTGTGTCAATCCATCTCATTGAGAGTCTTCCTGTGTTTTGCTGACCCTCTGCTTTAATGCAGTATGATTTAATTTTCCAAGGACTGCCCATTCCTGGCAACAACCCGAAGTCTGTTTGATGAAATGTCACCATCTTTAAGGAGCACTCTGTTTGCACTTACCCCAGAACAGACTTGTTTGTTCTTTTGACAGCCTATGGAATATTTCAGCACTCTTTTGCAACACCACAATTCAAAGGCTTTGACAGTATTATTTGTCAAAAGACCACATATAGGCATGGTACAGTTACTAACTTCTCACTTATCATGAAAAAATAATGTAAGTAGCTAGTAGCATTCAAAGAAGTACGTTCAATTACTATAGACCTAAGAGCCCAACTCTCAGATAAGCTGCTACTTTGCACTTCTGCCACTTTCACCCTTATTTTATAACTTCCCATCCCAAATTTTCTTTTTATTCTTGAAGAAAGGAATATAATGAGATTTGGACTCTACTCCATCCTGACAGAAGACTTACAATAGCAGTTCTTGTTTTGATGAAAACCAGTAGACAAGATGATCCTGAATTTAGGGCTCCACTTAGTAAAAATGATTATTCAACTGCTAAGGTTAGCTTTTCATCTCAATATAAAAGGAGCTGGTGGCACTCAGTGGATGAAGGGAATTTTTATATTTACATTTTTTTAATAAGAAAAGTTAGATTTTCATTCATTTCATTGTTGTACATTTTGTTCCCTTTCCTTCTCTTCCACCTCCCCCAGCTCACTTTAAAA